CTCTCTCTCTCTCTCTCTCTCTCTCTCTCTCTCTCTCTCTCTCTCTCTCTCTCTCTCTCTCTCTCTGTTGAAAAAAAAAACAATTTCTTTCTCTCATTCCATTCACAAATCATCACAAACCATCCATAAAACAAAAAAGGTATAGATAGACAGCATAGTAGAAGTTGCAGGGTTGGCCATGTTCGTTTGGTTACGCGCTATGCGCCCACACACCCGTCTGCCGCCAAAGTGGCACACTTGCACACATATTGCGATCTATAAAAAGATGGTGAGTATAAGGCAACACACTTAACTGAACGGCAATCACACAAAGAAAAAAATCGATGGCCCCATAACACAAAAGGCTCAGCTAGCGGGAAAGCACCGACCACATCCACCAATGGTCTAAAAGGAATTACAGAGCAATCTCTCTCAGTCGGCCTACAAAGCCATCATAAATCAAACAAACACCGCAAGACCGGTACACAACACAAAGAGTGCCATGAACCGCCCCCTGCCTCACAACCGGCAAGATCAGATGATCTCATAGTGCTACTATGCCCAACACCACAAGATCTCCACGCGACACCAGGAGCGCTACAGCAAGGCCACTGTGCGTGTTATGCCAAACTCCACAATATCTCCACAAGATCAGGAATTTTTCAGACTGGCGTGCCATGATTTCAAAAGCTCATGGGTGTACCTGCCGTGCGGAAGACAATGGGTGCCACCAGGAGTATTCTGAATGAAAAAGAAGACAAAACAACCACCGAGGCCCTACTGCGCCAGACCAAAAGGAAACAACCCACAAGAGAAACAATGACAGCAGCTGACATCAAGCAACAGCACATTCCGCCGTGACAGGCGGCCAGAGATTTACATCGGACATCTCCCAATGGTAGATACAATGGCCACCCGCGATTGCAGCAAAATGCAAACATGGCAACCACTTGTGGTGACTAAGGGTTGCAGGCAAATCAACAGCCGCAAGGTGAAAATCTGACGGTTGAGAACTTGAGACCCATCTGTCAGCGCCACAAATACAGCCCCCATCCTGTAAGCCTTAATACATCAAGGGATGTCACCTATGGAGTTGGCTGGAATCGAAAAATAGACAGACTCGCAGAGCCATGAAGGTAGCAGCACAGCTAAAAGTTTTAAACCACTGCCTGATTGGTCCAGTAGTGATTGTATGTCTTTCATCCTAATGCCTAGAACTTGTCCTTCTGGACATTCCTTAAAATTGGAACAATACAAAGAAGATTACCATGGCCCCTGACGGATAAATGGAGAAATGGTCAGGAACTCGCCGCCAATCATGACCTTGCAATTGTGACAATTGCACACTCCAATGCAAACAGATCAAGGACTCAGCCCCAACAGGTCAGCGACAGTGTAGTTTTGAGTTTTGGTTTGATCGGGCCCTGTCACAGAAATCGCATACACACCTTACAATTGTTGTCAGCTCCTCCAGCTGTACCTTCTGGTGCCTCTCAACTTCCTTCTTCAACGAAGTCCAATGCTCGGAGGACAAACTCGTATTCTCTTTGCTGTGTAGCATTCAATACAGAAAGACCAAAGCGGCAGATATTGAACAGAAGACAGCAAGGAACTTAGACATACACACATGTTATAGATAATCCGATTCTCTGGGAAGAGGTGATGGGATCAAAACATCTACTTTCCAGCAAACACTGAAGCATTTCACAAAAGAAATCAGCCCCACAAACTAGATGAGAAGATGATCAGACCTCTCTCTAAAGATAACTGCTCAGTCATTGATGGGCACAAGATTACAATTGTTAATTCATAGAATGGATTCAGATTGCGTAAACAAAGGGTTATTCCCAGTACCTAAATTAGAAAAACAAGAACAGGCAGCTGTAATTAACCTAGTCCATGGATATAGCCGCACCTAACTTTACCTGTCCCAGGGCTTCGGGAAATTGTCCTCTAGTCTAACAACTCTAACACCAGGAGTTGAGGTCTACAAGCAGGCACACGCAGCTAGATAATGTCATTTTGAAAGCATATCAAATGCACGAATCAGTATCTCACCACTGCTGGAAGAGCTCCTTTACGCGACAGTGCTTGGCAGCCACTGCTGCACGGGCAACCGAAGCAGATGTCTCCATGCCTTCCTGCCATGTGCCCAGCTCTGAATTGGCAGAGGATGCCATTTCCATCACCCTAGACACTGACGAAGTTGCAAGTTCTGCAGCCTTGTCTGATGCCTGTCGTATTTCTACGACATGATGATGAACCTGCAGGACAAAACCAGGCTTTCCCACATGAGGACATAGGCAACGCAATTTCCTCCAAATACACAGAGACTGAAGCAAGCTTCTCTTTACACAGCCCAAGAGCTTGTCTCAACGGAACACAGGAGCAAATCTCAATGGATATGTACTCACCAGCTCCCGCTTTCTGTTCGCCATTGCAGATACCATGCTAGCAACATTCTCCATGAACCGTGTCTCCTCTTCCCTACTTTGCACCTGTCCATTGGATTAACAAAAAGACAGTCAATCCAGTCAACTTAATTTAGATTACATGCACAAAACGCCACAGATCGAATATCTAACCAATCCCTGGATAGGCAAACATAATAGTAACCAAAAATAGTATTTAAATTTTAATACCCTAATCAGTGTTGAATACCCCGACGGTCGGTGGTCCTTGACTGGTTGGCTGCTGACCAGTAGGCTGGTCGGCACCTACCGGTCGGGGGTCGTCAGCACCCCTCCAAAAAAACATAAAGGGTCCAAATTCCCTGGTAACCCCACCAACACCCCCATAGCGGCCCC